CATTTGGTCCTACACACACTCGCAAACAGTTACATATAATTATCTCTCTACATTTGATCGTACACACTCGCAAACAGTTACATATAATTATCTCTCTACATTTGATCGTACACACTCGCAAACAGTTACATATAATTATCTCTACATTTGATCGTACACACTCACAAACAGTTCCATATAATTATTTCTCTTCATACCTCTTTAGTTCCATACCTAAACGTCACATTTTCACTAGAAATAATTAACAGTCGCGTATTTTATTTGTCTTCGTCGTTTGGTCGTTGTGCACAACCTGGGAGGGTAAGGTTCACTCGAACCTCTAATTTATCTAGGTCTTGTCGTCGATCTTTATCGGAGTTTAGGTCTTGTAGACTTGGGAGTGTCAGGTGCATTTGACCTTTTATTCTCTTTTTTTTATTTTATCTAGGTCTTTCCACCCCTACTGTCAGAATTTAAATCCCCCGGTAGCTCATTCCCTATTCGTTACATTACTCTTTTAGTGCATGCGTACTAACCTAAATTTAACGCTTTTAGCCAATGAGAATAAAGCTCCACCTGCACGTCGTCTCGCGCCCACGAAGTTCACTGGTGTGACAAGGAAGACTCCGAAAGAGCAAGCTGCGGGTGTGTTGAGCAGAAGGAAGATCGCGAGCGACGAGAACTGATCCATCATCGCTCCTGTCGCCATTTTGAAGTAGATATTTACCTCTTGACAGCCGACGCCATGACAAGTACAGAAACTACCGCAGAAAACGCTACTATCGAGACCACGACAAATACTGCCCCATCGGATAACGCTGATAATACCGAAACTAAGGGCGAAAATACCAGCAAGACTACGACACAAACCAGAAAACAAACACCCGTGCACAAAACCGACTTTGAGAAGGATGTCGTTTACTTGTATCAGTTCGTACGGTGTCCAGTTGTTCCTTCTGTTTCACCGTTCTGCCTGAAAGTTGAGACGTGGTTACGAATGACAGGATTGAAGTACGAGGTGAGAGACGTTTGCTTTCTTTTTAAATTTGGAATCGCCCGATTTTAGTAAAAAAGGCTTTATAGGTTACAAATTAATTTCAATTACAAACTACAACGTATTGTCGTGAGGGTTATGTTTTTCATCAAATTTGTACAATTAGAAGGTGATAATAACGTATTGTACAAGTTTTTGTTTCTTCGTTTTAATTTATCTAGAAACGTTAAATAAGAAAGAAGAAGCAGATTTTGATAGTATTAGTATCAGTAACTACTGAATTGTTGTATCGTTAAGCCGATCTATCACGATGGTGATTGCAGGATGTCGCATAATGCGGACTCCAAAACAAATTCCAGATCCACTCCATCTTTTCTCATGCCACTAAACAAGAGCAGCTTTTTTGTTTAACGAAATTAAGCGTCTTGTAATGTATTTGAAGAAACCGGTGTTGTAAAGCAAGTTGGGTGATTTTACCAGCTGTCGTTTGACAATTCGCGGGCGCGCGCGCACACATATAACATGTCACTTTTGAGATAAGGCAGAACTGACGAGGCAACTCTGACAATAAGCTGGATTTTGGAACTTGATAGTTCTGTCTGCCGTCTCTATGCTGAGACTTTCGTGTCTCGAGCCCGAAACGTTGTCCCAGTACAAAGAAAAAAGGACCGGAAATGTCCATCAAAAAATCCAATAAATATGAAAATACTTCTTATACTTGATGTCTTGGGTATTGTAAGTAACATGTCATTTTAATTGTTGTTGAAGCGTAACTTTAAATGTTATGACGAAACAAATGAATAATCTCCCCTCCACCCGATCTAAAGTTTGAAACGTTAATAAATAATGATATTAATATCCTTAACTTAAGTTCCGAATTTCGTACAAAGCGTATACGATATATTTCCTAATAACCTTAATGCACAACGAAGAAAATTTCAATAATTAAAAAAAAAAAAGGCACATAAAACCATCCACGTTATAATCGCAAAAACAAGTATTTCACCAATTTTTTTTCGTTTTAATAATTGGTAAATTACTGTTTGTCTAATATTAGTAGTTGACTCAAAAAGCGTCATAACATAAACCCGGGTATTTGTTTCATTTGGTCTTTACTCGTGCTTTTATTGGTGTGATGTGAATGTTTGTTTCATACTGTATGTTGTAACTTGGTAATCATTGATAATTTGATGTATCTGCTCTTTCCATGCTGAAGTTACACCTCTGAAATAACTACAAACCAGTGGCTAAATATAGTAGTCTTAGCAGTCAGTGTAATACACCTGCATATTTTCTTTGCCTCGAGAGGGCTAAGAATCCTAACAACTTTTTTTTTTTATCGCCTTGCGTATTTCAATTGCTTTTCGACCTTGAAGACGTCCTGCTGCCTCAAGATATACTCCCAGTAATTGATGAAAAAATAAAGTGAACCGGTTTCCACTCCACGTCTCTACTATAGGCCATCGTGTGATTCACATACATCCGAAGACTAGTTTCAACAAATGGACAGATATAAATTTAAATGGAGATATCTATTTTCAATAAACGTTTCTCTCTCTGGAGAGGAACAGTTCTGTAGTTAAAAGCGTTACTTCAACAACAAGACTGGGGGGAGGGGGGGACTGCAATGGCGTGTATTTTTTCCTGCCTTATTATTAGCGATGTAATGTATTAATTACTAAACAAAAAGTAAAGTGGGAGTAACTAAGTTTGTTTTTTTTTAATTAATTTGACAATTAAACAGAAAATGGTTGTAATTAACAACCTTACTCCGGTTCTTCTTCTATCCCTTTTAATTCAATGTTTTGCCAGTAAGTGTTTGAGGAATATAGTTGCTAAGATATGAAATGACGTTGACACAAAAATCAAGTTGAAATTTAAACACTCGCATTATGCATACCCCTTACCACTATTTGTGGATGTTTGTTTGTTCTGAAGGAGTCGCCTTTCTTTAATACATCTAAGTATGATTTGTATTATTCGGCTTATGGCTAGTACCTGTTCGGCCAATAAATAGGTGATTAGAGACGGCTTGAATGGGTAATGAAGAAAAACTTAAATATAAGTTTAACATAACAGCAAATGTACAACGTTTCGACAGGGTTTTGTCATCATCAGAGTGGGTTCCTCGTCATCGAAATACATGATTAATTCTTAGCCAATAGAATCCCCATGATTAGTTCTTAGCCAATAAAATCCCATTGGGAACTCGCACTTTTTCAAATCTTTGCGTATACTCATTTCCGTTAATTCATAGAAGTACATCTATTTACATTTGAACGTGTACTTAAAAGTGCCAATGTTAACGTCACTTCAAGACACGGTGTGGTTTGTGTTCGTAGCTTAAAATTGTCCGTTTCGAGCTTTTTAAAACACGTTTCTTGAACACGAATACAACGTCTTGAATTTACAAGCAACAAACTGAAAAGTGATACTGCTATTGGCGTGAATCTATATCAGACGTATTTTTTTTTATTTTTTTTGTGGCTAAAACTAGTCATTACGTATTTCTTGTGGCTATAATCATTAAATTTTACAGGAAATTGAAGAGGCAGCAACAACTAAGTCAATATGAATCGTAAAACAATTGCTGTTTGTTACGTCATTTCCTGGGAGTGGTCATTAAGCCTCGTGTATAGGAATCCTTGCAACATGCTCACATCATAGAAGTTAACTGGAAGTACTGGTTTTGTGAATAGATTTTTAAAAACAAATTATAGTACAGATGTCGCTGTTACTTCGTAAATAATAAATTGTGAATGTTTTGGTTTCTTTTTACATACGTAAACAAGAGTAACAAGCATCAACTCTTTTATGAGAATATATACCACTTTGATTAGTTTGGATACGTGTGGGATGAATAACTTGTTTTCTTGTTATTATTACGATCACTTGCATAGCTTAACCAGAGCCCATTTAAATCTTTTTTTTTTAAATTAAACGTCTACTTAATTTTGGGAAAAGTGTAATGACACATAAACTGTGTTGGTGTACAATTTCTTGACGTTTTACTGCTGAAATTTGAACGAAACTGGCACTTCCAGTCCGTCTTGATTCCCTGTTCAAATCTTGCATTATTTAAATTTCAAGTGCCTCTTATATAATACTAGCTGGAGTACCCATTCGACGCACGTGAAGACATTGGGGTCGGATCCGAACATCAAACTCTTATGTCACTTCTCGAAGGGCCCCAAGGATATGTATGTCATGTTTAGTGATAATCGGCCCAGCGGTTCGTCGGTCATAAACGGACACGCACTGACTTGTTTTATCGTCTTTTTTTTTTTTTGCATCGTGAAATTTGTGAAGTTTAATCTTTTCTTAAATGATAAAAAGTCATACCTCTCTCCCTCCACTTAAATTTAGCTTACCTCACTGTTATTTGAAGATTAAACTTCACATTTTATTGCACGTGTCATGTGTTGGGAAAAGAAGAATTTTTTATATTTAAAACTTAACGCTTGATTGCGAGATCTATTGTCTGTCTTGTTAGTGCTAGAACTTTGACAAAAGTTCTTGTAGTTGCCTTTCCTGATTGACGGCTTGTGAAATGTAACTATCGGACTCTTAGTACCGACCATTTGTATATGAAGCGCATTAAGTACGAATGTTTATGGTGTGGTGTGATATAAGCATTTTATTTTTTGGTAAACGTGATGTTTTAAAGGAGCTAGCACAATCAACATGTCGGCCAGTCACTTCTCAGTGACTGCTAAAAAGTTGTTTGGTCAAAAGTACGAGTATCTTTCAAATTCATTAACTCGTCTATTCCTAAACGTAATTTTGAATAATTTTCTCATCCCAATATAATAATAATAACTGTTAGCATTTGTAATGTTGCCTGTTGAATATTGTATGTGGAACATCAAGTTCAATGTCTAGTCGTATGAGGTAATTATTAACCCAACTTCCTTTAGGGTGCTTTTACTTCTACGCTCCATACTTTAAGCTTGAGTCACTAACACCCCGGGGATGTAAAGACGGACAAGTGGGGAAACTCGTAGGACACGTGCACTTGGCTGACTCGAAGTTAAGAATGAATGTCTCGTTCTTAGTCTACTTACAGTTAACATAAAATATGGTTCCCGTAAAACTTTCCTAGTACTACGTGCGAAACGGCGGCTGTTACGTGAATAAATATTAGTAACTTTTAATTTTTTTTTTAAATCTTTTAGTATGTCCACCTAGCGTCATTAGATGGCAAACTTTGATTGAAAGTTGAAATTATTTACTATTAATTAAAGAAAAGCATTAAATAAACCGTTCGTAATTACTGATTGAAGGAAATCATTAAGGAATTTATTTGGTGCTGCGTGCTTGTTTTTTAACTTGTAAATATGTTTTTTTTAAATCTTTCAGTAGGTCCACCTAGCGTCATTAGGTGGCAAACTTTGATTCAAAGTTGAAATTATTTACTATTAATTAAAGAAAAGCATTAAATAAACCGTTCGTAATTACTGATTGAAGGAAATCATTAAGGAATTTATTTGGTGCTGTGTGCTTGTTTTTTTAACTTGTGTAAAATTAAAAAAAACGTTCACGCTCTGTATGAGCACTTATCTGTTCAGTTGATCAAAATTAACCTTTATAGTTCAGCTCATTTTAAAATAATCTAAAGGCCACAAATAAATTTGCGGGGCAGATGTGTGTTTTGGAAGTTTGCTAATACTTTTCTTCCTGTCTTGATTTTGGACGTACGTTTCAATATATATTGTATTTTCCTAAGAAGTGAACTTATTTACTAATAAATTTTAACTCTCTATTAAAAGTCCAATTTTCTTTAGTTTTGTGTTTAAAATTATTCATTAAAGTGAGAAAAAAATATATTTCAGAATGTGGACCACCGTCTAAAATACAAGTCCAAAAAGGGACAGCTTCCTTTTGTGGAACTAAACGGTACCGAAATAGCAGATTCTGACATCATCATCGGCGAACTAACTAAGAAGTTTGAGAAAGATCTGGATGCAGATCTTAGTGTAGACCAGAAGAACATCAGTCATGCTTTCAACTCGATGCTCAACAACCACACCTCCTGGTAAATTTGACACTTTTTTTTTTAACTTTGTCTCGCTTAGAAAGAGTGACTTTTTTTTTGATAGCGTGGGAACACCGGTACAATAGATTCCCACCAAAGTCGTTCAGTTATATGACGCTATGGGGGGCCGTGGGGGCGTTATAATGTGCCGGTCAATCCCACTATTCGTTGGTAAAAGAGTAGCCCAAGAGTTGGCGGTGGGTGGTGACGACTAGCTGCTTTCCCTCTAGTCTTATACTGCTAAATTATGGACGGCTAGCGCAGATAGTCCTCGTGTAGCTTTGCGCGAAATTGAAAACAAACAAACAGTTATATAATGCTATATGGTTCGTCATTTGGCAGTTGTCACTCTCAATCGCAGAGGTTAAAGTATTGTATGTAAATACATTTTATCTCGAGAGCCATTGAATAAATGGCAGCCGACCAATCATAGCAGGCTATTGCAATGTGATTAAGTGTATCGTTAGCAAAATGTGAAACTGGTTTTAAACCAATGGTACAATTGCTTGGACACTTGAATAAAGCAGATTGTTGTTTAATAACAGATGCAGACGAACGTTATTTGCTGCAGTCCTAGAATACCTGCTCCGAGTTGTCCTGCAAGCTAGACTTTCAATGAAGCTCTTCCGTTAGTAGGAAGGCAAAAATGTAGAGGTGTCCAATGGTTTAATGTCACGTAGAGAAATATTCTTTACCCTTCAACAAGATAACGGGATTATACTTGTTTGAAGTGAAACTGGAACCACATTCAACTCCATTTGTCATACAGTAACGTGATGCATATATGGTGGTGGAAGGAATAAGCGGAATGATGCAAATAAGGCCAACGTAGAGATCTTTTCCTACTAATCTTTGTGCTCACAGTTAGCCCTAACTACTAAAGATGTTCTGAAAATCACTTTTTTTTTTCAGAAGAGTGGTCAAGGATATCTTGGAGACCATATTAACACTTTGCCAGGCTGCCCTTTGTGTTTGTGGTGACCTTACTCCATATTAAATCGAAATGTCGTGAACTGTAAAGCCATCTCTACCAAATGCCCCTTTACAAGCGTAAGCTGAATGTCCAGTCATTTGAATTATGCAAATAAAATAAAAATGCGTGTTTAGATTTTTCTGCTGTATTAAGGTAGCCATCGGAGTCTTTATTTCTAGAAAACTCCAATGTGAACGCAGCCTAGAACAGTCTTGGTTCATTTTATAATTTAGTTTAATTTTAACAACTTGCTCAGGTCAGAGTCATTAATAGTAGTTGTTCTGTGAGGGGGGGGGGGGGTGCAAACTATTTTGTTACATATCTAGACCCTAGCAACAAACTTTTAAGCAGTAAAAATTGTCAGTATCGGGCCATATATGACTGTGACAGTAATTACTATAACTTCATAATCTTATTATTGCTAACCTTGGAGAATACGTAATGACCACCTCTTTGCTGGAAAACGTTAGTGTTAGTTCTGGGAACTAAAGGTTTTTATATTTTGTTTGTAAACGTTTCGTATCATGTTTTGCTTGCTTTAGGTTGAAGGGGGGGGGGGGATTTCCTCGTGAAGTTAACTAAGTAAATGTGTATCCACATTTCCGTTATGTTGGCTGTTTCATATTAATTACAGAACGAACCCCTGAAATTTAACATATCTATTTCTCCATCTGCTTCTTAGTTAGAGAAGATCTAAGAAACGGATCTTACTTAACCTTCTACTTGCACGTGCCAAGAAAGCTAATCGATATCGGATAAAGGTTGACTGGGAACTACCATTCACGTTTTGGAGGGTGGGCTGGTCTAGATGACTTCGGGTGGAGGGATTAGGGTGGAAAATACTTACTCTTGAAGATTCTTAACAAAAAAAAAAAAAAAAACTGTTAAGTATTTTATTCAATGATGAAGTGTTTCATAAGTTTTTCTTCTTAGTGGTACGTCTGTGTAAAAAAAAATAAATGCTTTATCTTCCATGTTTAAATTTCCTTAAAATGCGCGAGTTTTTAAGTACGTTCCATTTATACATCTTTTTTTCAAAGTATCGTGGTATCTACCATCTGGATGCTTGTATAACTTTCTCAGTGGATCAACTCTGTCTTCCTCAAACTATTTTGCCAAATGATTGCGAGATAGTTAAGTCTAACTAACGTTTAACTAGTATCTGGAAGGTTATAATAATGCACCAAACTGAGGTATTTTGTTTTAGTAAACCTCTGCTATTAAGACATTTGCTTAATGAGCAATAAATAGAAACATGATAAGTCTGGAATAGCGAATTTTTAATGTTTTACAAAGTAAGTACAACATTGTTTTTTCTCTCTCTCTCTCTCACTAGGGCAAAGTTATTAATATTGACAAGGAGCCCAGTTTTCCACAAGTCCTCCACCCTCCCTCCATTCTCGGTGTAGAAATGCTTTAGTTTAATCTGTTAACACAATGATTTATTCGGGCAATGTTGACTCCAGAAAGTGCGAGGCCCCGAGTAGCAGGGTGATCAGATCACACGATCCACGAGTGCGTTGCGCAGTAATAGGGAAAGGGAGGGGGGGGGACACCCCATTAAAAAAATAATTATCGTAATTTTTCTTACTTTTGCAAGCGAGAGAAAATAAATAAACACGTTTTTAAAGTTAAACGCTATTTTTAAGTTGGCTCTACGAGGGACCAGAGTAATCTCATGTTTTGTTTGTACGTAAGACGAGCACTGCGTTTAGGGTTCGGGGCAATAACGACAAAATGTCAAGATAGAAACGTAATTACAAGTAAAGTTGGAGGGAGGTTTCTCGGGTCATCAGTCATGACCCATCAACTTGTGGGATACAAACTCACTGATAATTGCAACGTTTATTTATCTACAAGTATTTAGATATAATTTATACAACGTTTTATCACTGCCACATTTTGGTAATTCCCACAAACTTTTTTTCAGGGATAAACGCTAAGAAGATATTCATTTTTTTTTTAGCTTATTGAAAAACTTGAACATTGCATCACTGTCGTTTCATTTATGCTTTCCTTAAGTTTGTTGTGGGATTGGAACGTGGGTCAGGAATATGAGCGGTTACTCAGACTAACGCCAATGCGATTAACTTACAAAACTGGTGTAAATTAAACTAGCAGGGATCCAACATGTAGATTTTCCGATTGCAACATTTAAATAAATTTATTTTAGTGAACCTTGTAGCCTGTTAATTACGTATCGTCTGCATATCCAAAGTGACCCTCGGGAATATACTAGTCCGTTCCGGTGGACTATACTAGTCCGTTCCGGTGGACTATCCACCTGCTATTATCGAACACGAAGCAAAAAGAAAAAAAAACATCTGTTATTACCGAACACGAAGTAAAATGAAAAAAAAAGCATCTGCTGTTATCGAACACGAAGTAAAATGAAAAAAAAGCATCTGCTGTTATCGAACACGAAGTAAAATGAAAAAAAGCATCTGCTATTATCGAACACGAAGTAAAATAAGAAAAAAAAGCATCTGCTATTATCGAACACGAAGCAAAAAAAAGACCCATCTGCTATTATCGAACACGAAGCAAAAAAAAGACCCATCTGCTATTATCGAACACGAAGCAAAAAAAAAGACCCATCTGCTATTATCGAACACGAAGCAAAAAAAAAGACCCATCTGCTATTATCGAACACGAAGCAAAAAAAAAGCCCATCTCTATTATCGAACACGAAGCAAAAAGAAAATAAGCATCTACTATTATCGAACACGAAGTAAAAAGAAAATAAGCATCTACTATTATCGAACACGAAGTAAAAAAAAAAGGAAAAAAACCCGATGAGAAACTGTTAATACATCTGAGATATAATGGAAATAAACATGATCTGAAATAACGATAATCTGATCCAAAAACTTTGTGTGTGCGAGGGGGAGGGGTGGGAGATTTTTCTTAACGTTTTCAATACAAACTAGAATCTATATAGAAAAAAATAACATTTTGATTAATACAAGTTAATATGTTAATATATTTTATGATAAATGTAAATAATTTAAACTCGCATGTTTTTAACAATATTAACTACTTACTATTACCACTCCATTCTTTATCATAACTATTTTTTGCGTACACTGTTAACTTCGTATTTTTAGGGTGATGCGTTGGTGGCGTTACACTCATCCCAGTCAGTTTCTAAAGACTGCTCAACTGGATGTGAAGCAAGTTTTAAATTCAAAACTACCAAAAGGCGTTTTACAGTTTTTCTTCAAAATGGGCTTCAAAAGCGTAAGTACCACATTTTAGTTCCATATCCTTAGAGTGGGTAGTTTTCAATGGTATTTGTGTAAAAAAAAAAAAAACATTCCCCCAAAGAGTAAGGGGGTTTTAAAGCAACCATTTCAAGTTTATTCTGTCGCCAGTAGATCGGTTTTTAACCCTTTTTTTATATAAAGTCACGATAAGAATAAAATACTTGGCAAAGCGAGTATATACTGAGTGGTTACAAGTAAATAGACACCTAATTTTTCATCATTTAACTGATTTATGCTAACTAATTTGTGTTCACAGAGCACTATATAAATGAAAATGGTCCGCACATTAATTATCTTTTGCTACAACATGCTTAGAACTCAAGGTTCTCTCGAATTGTCAGATTTTGTTAGAGGAAGGATAGTTGGTCAAGCAGATGGTGGAATAAGTCAGCGGCAAATTTCGCAGAATTTGGGAATTCCGCTTTCGACAGTCAACACAATCATCGTGCAGTTTAGGAAACACGGCAAGGAAACAACTGAGCAGCGTCCGGGTCCATCGGAGAGGACAAAAAGGGCTGTCAAGAGGAGCATCGAAATGGATCCCAGATTAACGACTGCAGAAGTGGCCAAAGTTGGTGGGATGAGCCCGAAATATGTTCAACGGATTCTCCACAGATTGTATTATCGTTGCAGATCAGCTAGACGGAAGCCCTTGTTAAGACCTGCCAACATAGTCAGACGAAAGAAGTGAGCAAGTGATATGATGACCAAGCCTCTGGACTTTTGAAACACCGTATTGTTCTCGGATGAATCAAGATTCGCTCAGTTTTCGGACAGAGGAAGGATATGGGTCTGGAG